ACACAAAAGATATAAGATAAGAAAAATAGAAAATTAGGATGGAACAGTAAGTTGAAGACAAATGAAAATTTTGAAAGATCTATAGGACATGAAGTGTCCTGGGTTATTGATAAAGGCAAGAAAATGTGGTTCTTAATTTTCTAATCACCTGAATAATGGAAATAGAACAGCTGAAAAATTTACACTGACTATTGGAGTTACTCAGTACTAAGATTTCTGAGCAAACAGTCAGACTGCCTGGATTGAATTCTTTGGTCTGCTTATGCTTGCAAGATCACTGAAGCCATTGAGCCCCAGGTTCTTCATCTGTGAAGTGAGGATAATAGCATATATCTCATAAATTACCAAGAGTATAAAATTATTTCATTAAACAAATATTTTTGAACATCTGTGTCTTAGGAATGTCCTAGTCACTAGAAATCCTCCAGAAAACAAGGTGACCAATAGGGCTCAACAGTTCCAGTGTTTATATCTGCTGAGGATTGGCTTTGGGTGAAAAGTTGTGGCAGAAATAAATAAATAATTCGCATGTAAATAAAAGTATATATGTTGATCTCATAAAGATGTCAATTTAATTCAAATTTATGAATTTAAGGCCATTTCAGCAATTATACCAACAGCATGTTTTAAGTAAACAAGCTGCTTTTAAGTTGATATGAAAAAGTGAAGGAACCATGCTTGCAAGGAAAATAATGATGCAGTATTACCTTTTGTATATTAAAATGGTTTGTAGTTAAAATAATTGAAACAGTATGATATTAGTGAATACATAGAGAGGAATCAATTAACATAACAGAAAGTTCTATTGGAGGCACATATAATCAGGAATTTCATGTTTGTTAAAGGAGTTATTTTAAATCAGTGAGTAAAATGATGGATTATTCAATACATGGAATAACTGGGTAGATATTTAGAAAAACTTAAATTTGATACATTCATTACAGAAGAGGACTTTCTACCTAAATAAAAATTGACCTTAAAATATTGGTTAGTGAGGGGGTCTGAGGAAGAGCTCATATAATGTAGCCTGTCATGTTGCATTGAAATATAACAAGGTAATAGTGAAAAATATTCAAGCAGAAAGCTAAAATCATCATTACTAATTATATTAATTATATTTTTTGTCTTTTGTGATACATTTTATTTTGTATTTGCTAGAAAATGTTTTAGATATCCAAAAGATACAAGAAGATCATTATAAACATCCATATATATAGTATTGCAGATTAAAAAATAATGATGAACATTTCATATATTTGTGAAGTCCCATATATACCATCTCTGATGGATTCCCCCCCCCTTTTCTAGGACTTTGTTAACTACAGTGCTAAATCTGGAGACACTTATTTGACATTTTATATTTAAGACTTCTCTAAAATGTTTTGTAAACACTAGAATGTGCATTTCCACTGTTATTTGCATGGATATTTATTTATTTGTTTTGGGGGGGGGGTCTTTTGTTTTGTTGTTTGTTTGTTTGTTTGAGTTAGAGTCTCACTCTGTTTGAGTGGATTGTCCAGACCGGAGTGCAGCGGCCGCTCCCGGCCTCCGCAGCCTCGACCTGCCGGGCCCCGGCGATCCTTCCTCCTCAGCCTTCCAGGTAGCCGGAACTACAGGTGCGCGCTACCACGCCCGGCTAATTTTTTGATGTATTGTAGAGATGAGATCGCGCCAACTTGGCCAGGCAGGTCTCAACCCCCGGGCTCAGGCAATCCACTAACCTTGGCCTCCCAAAGCGCTGGAATTACAGGCTGAGCCGCTGAGCCCGGCTTATTTATTTGTTTATTTGTTCATATTTCTTGTGAATATAGACATTTATATATGTGTGTGTTTTTTTCTATCAGCAAATCCTTTTAGTTCCACCACCAGAACACACCCAGAAACGAACCTGGTCCAAACCAGCATCATTAGCAGGATCATTGCAATAACTTCCTCACTGGTCGTTGGCCCTTCAATTCTCAACATAATAACCATAGGTATTTTTGTAAAATATAAGTCAGATCTTTCTGCACCAGTCTTCCAAATCTTTCAATGGCTGCCAGATCATCCAAATAAAGATCTAAGCCATTGTAAAATTTGATAAAGTCCCATGACCTGTTCTCCTTGCCAGTTACCTCCCTAGTCTCATTATCTCCTCCACCTTCAACTCTAGCCATGCTAGCTTCCCTGCTCCCTCTTTGCTGTTCCAAGCATTTCTCTGTTTCAAGGAAGTACTGTAGCTCCTCTGCCCATATGGGTCTTGTCCCAGATATTGGTGTGGTTACCTGTCTTGCCCACTGCAAGATTTTTACTCAAATGTCATACTTTCAGTGAAACTTTTCTCATTCACACTATTTACATTTTGTTGTATCCTCTAAAAAAAATTAGTTCCCTCCCTCCTTGCTTTACTTTTCACACCACCATTATCGCTTCTAACACACAATACAATTTGCCTAATCTTTTGTTTTCTCACCAGCAGCTCTATGAGAGAAAATATGTAACAATGAGAGGAAAAAAGAATAAAGCCTTTGTTAGTTGCCATAACCTTTGAATCTAAAGCCTTTCCTGGCACTTCACAAGTACTCAATAAGTGTGTAGAAGCTAATGAGTGGGAACTGGATATATCCATCTGTATTAAAGAGAATTATGAGTGTCTAACATTTTACAAGCAAATAATATGGACTGAAAAGAGAAAAAATTATATTTTTATCTTTAGCTGAACTTAGAGATTACTGATTACCTAAGAGAGGCTTTGAAGAAATCACAAAGAAATCCTAAAGAAACAACATCCTAAAGAATGATGCTTGAAATATGCCATTATAAAATAGTATATGACAAGAAAATGATTTAAGGAGATTCATCTGAACTGTCCTTATCTCATCCCATTCATTTCTGTTCTCTTTCAAGTTAACACATTGTACTTCCATTTCTGTTTCTAGAAATAGATTTATGATTGTCTTAAATAGCTTTTAGCACCCTTGCATGACAATTATTTAAGCCCCATGCTGCCTTTTAGATCTCAGACAAATCCTGATGAAGTACCAGCACCTTCTTGGACATTTTCAGTTCTTCAGATGGGTTCTATCTTTGCCAGATATCATCTTGCCAAAGAGCAATATGGTACTTAACAAAAACATTTTTATTTTTATTTGCCGAAGGAAAAGTTATCTCCAGGGACAATCATTCTTAGGAAGTAGTAGCTAGACATAGCTATATGCAATCAATAGTCAAAATTGTTTTGTTTTCCTAGTTCCAAAAGAATATTAATATTGTAAAAGAATAGGTAATGGTTTTAAGAGCATTAATGTTCAATAGGTTGGCTAGGCATGCTGAAATTGGCTTGAAAATTTAGCTACGAGAAAAATATAACGGCAAAATAATGCTGACAACTAACATTTGCCTAGTGTTTTCTATGATCCCAATATCTCCTAAGTGATTTCTTTGTGTTACCTCATTTTCTATTTACCAATGAAGCTGATGCTGTTTTTTACCAAGGGAATAAAGAACTGGAAAGTTAAATGCTCAAAAAGATTACAGAGATGGGATTCAGATCAGGCAATGAGACTCCAAGCCCAAAGCTCTTGATTCTTAAAGCATCATTAAGAAGGGTTGAAGCACAAGTGAAACATACCTTGAAAATATATAATTATTTTTCATGCATTGACACTTTTAAAATGTTGATAAATGTGTTATTTTCCTAATAATTCATTAGACAATACTCAGAGTTTAATGTGACTTTTAAATTTCCAAACAAGGTAGCTATGACATGTCATCTGCTTTTATCCATTACAAATCTATTTTGATTTTTGTATATTTATCATTTTTCTTCTAAAATGTATTTTTCTTGTACTTGCAGAATTCATAAGCTCTGTTTAGTAAAATAATTAAATTTATTGTATAATATCTATTATAAATTTCATATAAACTGAATGTTTAATTTAATATTTAATATATTTTTAAAGCTACTGAGATAGGCGGGCCAATGAAGAACATGCCAGACCAAAAGAAACTGCACTTTTTGTGGTAAAATTTTCTTCATAAAAAGAACTTTGCGTGATCTCTTTTGGAGACAGTCTTTGTCAGCATGGGCTGCTTTTACAAATTACCATAGACTGGGTGTTTTATAAACAACAGAAATTTATTCCTTACACCTCTGGACTGGAAATCCAAGAACTGGGTGCCAGCATGGAAGGCTCCTGGTGAGGACCTAGCCTGAGTTGTAAATGCTGAGTTCTCATTGTATTCTCAGATGGTGGAAAGACAGCTAGCCTCTTTTTATAAGGCACGTATTCCATTCATGAGGACTCCACCCTCATGACCTAATTACCTCACAAAGAACCTGCCTCCTACTACCATCACAAAGGGAACAGAGCTTCAATATATAAATTTTATGGGGACACAAACATTCAGTCCATCACAAAGACCCTTACTTTTATCACAAAGAAGTATATTTTCTTGACTACATACAATTGGAAGAAAGCCTTTACTATGATATGAAAAGAAATTAAGAGTATAGTTTCTGTAAAATCAAATGGATAAACAAAAATGGATACATTTCTAATTTTAAATGTAAAACAAAATCAAATACCTATAGGGGCCAAGTAGGTATCGTAAGTGAGAAAACGCCCATATTATGGAGATTATAACACAAATTTTATATATAGGATATGCATGACAGGATACACAGAGAGACACTAAAATCAATGCATTCTCTTATTGATTCACTGTCACAGTAAATGTTTTTGTTAGCTGGATCTTGAAAAATTCCCACATTCTAGCAAAATGCCATTTCTCAAGGTTATATATATATATATATATATTATGTTAAATTCAAAATTTTTGTAGGAACTCTTGCTTATAATGTTATCCATTTCAAAGCAACACACAGATATTATTTTCACCTGGGTTTGCCACTTCCTAGAGTTTGGAAACAGTTGCAAGACAAGAGCTATTTTTTTTTAACCACATTCACTGTGTTTTCCTTTTGTGTGTGTGTGTATGTGTGTATGCTTATGTTGCAGAGAAGGCCAGCAATCGCCAGAACAATGGCAGAAGATGTACGGGAGATGCTCTGGGAATGAAGTTTACCACATTGTTTTGGAAGAAAGTACATTTTTTGCTGAATATGAAGGAAAGAGCTTTACATATGCCTCTTTCCATGCACACAAAAAGTATGTTTCTGCCTCAGAGTGAAATTAAAATATCAATCAACCAATCAAGTATGCCATTTAAATACAGTTTTCTAAAATACAACTCATATTGTGCTCATGAGTTTCAAGTATTCTGGAATTTTTGACACAATTTTGAAATGTTTGAACTCTGGTGTCTGTATGGTCTCTATGAGTTAAGATTGTCAGGGGCTTATCATAGTTAGTAGGACTGCTTACTTTATCAACTTTTGAGCTCATTTTAAATATTTTAATCCAGTAAGAATTTACAAACATAGGAAAAATTAATCCTCTTTCCAGATATAAATTCTAAAGTATTGACTAAAACCTTAAAGTAATACTAATTTTCATAAAACCTGTACATTTAAAACAGTTTCTGATGAGAGAACTTGCTTTAGCTAAATAAATAAGTTAAAAAGCAAGTAATATTACCTTTCCATTCAAACATGGAACATTATTTTTTCCTTTCCTTTTTGAGAAAAAATATTTACTTAAGACATAAAAATGTATGCATGAAAATAATAAATTACTTATACTAAAATGTTTTAATATATATTGTGGGATGTTTACAACATATTTAGTATATTATACTACCCTGATATGTAACATACAGATCATCCCTGACATATAATGCTTTGAGTTATGATTTTTTGACTATGATGGTGTAAAAGTCATATGCATTAAGTAGAAATCATACTTTGTTTCTGTTTTTGTTTTTTTTTTTAAATTAGTTGGAGACTCACTGTCACCCGGGCTGGATTGTAGTGACACACTCATGGCCACTGCAGCCTCTACCTGCTGGGCTCAGTCAGTCCTTCCATTTCAGCCTTCCAAGTAGCTGGAACTACAGGTGCACACCACCATACCTGTCTAATTGTTTGATTTATTGTGGAGACGAGGTCTCACCAAGTTGCCCAGATGGGTCATGAACCTCTGGGTTCAGGCAATCTTCTCGCTTAGCCTCCCAAAGTGCTGGGATTATGGGCATGAGCCACCGTGCCTGGCTAGAAATCATACATTTAATACCAAAACATCCATTGTGTTTTTCACTTTTCACATAGTAGCCAATAAGTTACATGAGATATTCAGCACTTTATTATAAAACAGGCTTTGTCATAGACCATTTTGCCCAACTGCAGGCATTGTAACTGTTCTGAGTACGTTTAAGGTAAGTTTGGTAGATTAGATTAGGTATTATTATTAAATTTTTAAATTTAACGATATTTTCAATATATGGGTTAATTAGGATGTGACCCTATTATAAATGAGGGGAAAGCTATATTCTACTTTATTCTCAATGTGATTCTGTTTACACATATACGTTTGCTGTTTAAAAATATCTTTCAATTTGATCTATTTTGTAATACTTTAAGGTATATAGAAATAAAATTATTTAGGATAATCTGTGCTTGGGAAATAATCCATAAAAATATGAGAATCTTTAAAAGTAGTCTGCTACATTCAAAAGTTGTTATTCTAATTTAGTGCACACCCATTTAAGACTATATAGGTTTTTTTTAAATTCAAAGTAAACCAAGTATGATAAATTTAGGGATCCTGATTCCTTCTCATGTGATCTTAGGTAAGTTTCTTTCTTTCTTTTTGGCTGATAGTTTTAAACATTTTTTTTTTTTTTACCAAGGTAAGAAATACTGTTTACATTTTTTAACCAACATAAGTTTTTGTAAAAATTTACAAAATTATGTTACTATGACTATATTTTTCATTAAAATATAAATTTATATTACTCATAATCAACTAAATTACAACACACTAAGAACAGTTTGTTATTCTGTTAAAATGAGGATCTTAAGCTGCTAAATCCTTTTAGACTTTAAAATGATGCTACTTGGAGCTTTAATTTTTCTTTGCCTTATAATAGTCTACTAATTTCCTTGTGTATGCAAACTTATAAAGAAGAAAAATACTAAATTGCTGAATTACAATTCTTAAATTCTTTCATTTTTTTTTTTAAATAAGGTTTGGTGTCTGCTTGATTGGTGTTAGAAGGGAGGATAATAAAAACATTTTGCTGAATCCAGGCCCTCGATACATTATGAATGCTACAGACATATGTTTTTATATTAATATTACCAAAGAAGAGAATTCAGCATTTAAAAACCAAGACCAGCAGAGAAAAAGCAATGTGTCAAGGTCATTTTATCACGGACCTTCCAGATTACCTGTACATAGCATAATTGCCAGCATGGGTAAGTACAAACAAGTTCAAAACTATCATTCGTTTATTCCTACAATAAAAAAAAACTAATAAATGCACTTCAAATTTTTTAAAAGTTCAAAACCACATTTTAAACATGCATGAGTACTTTTCAAACTGGGAATGATTAGGTATACAGATCAACATTTCTATTTTTTTAAAAATAGAAATGAATGCTTTCTTCCATGGCAGAATACATACAAGAATTTTTCTAGCAGCACCAGTTGTAATAGTTCCAAACTAGAAACTTCCCAGAGCCCATCCACCGCAATACAGGAGCATAAATCGTGGTAATTTCATTCATTAGAGAAGAACTCATTGCTACTACACACAATAGAATGGATAAATATCAAAAACATGCTGTTTCAGAGAGGGCACATTCGAAAGAGTATATAATATATGATTTCTTTTATATAGTATTCCCAGAACTGGCAGAACAACATTTCTAAGCTGTTAGATTTTTCTAGCCAGGCTCGGTGGCTCAGCCTGTAATCCTGCGCCTTGGGAGGCTGAGGTGAGTGGATTGCCTGAGCCCGTGGGTTCGAGACCCACCTGGACAACTTGGCGAGACCTCATCTCTACAATAAATCAAAAACCAGCCGGGCATGGTAGCGCGCGCCTGTAATTCCGGCTACTCGGAAGGCTGAGGCGGATGGATCGCCGGAGCCCAGCAGGTCGAGGCTGCGGTGGCCAGGAGCAGCCACTACACTCCAGTCTGGGTGACAGAGTGAGACTCCAACTCAAAAAAAAAAAAAAAAAAAAGAATTGTAGTTTCTACTCTGGTTGAAACGCAAATCATTTCACCTATGCTAACCTATAATTTAAGACAGTTGCTTTTTCTGGTGTGGAGAATAAGTGGTTCAGACAAGGATCAGAGTGTGTTCAAGTGGAGGTGGTAAGAAGGAGACAATTCTAACATATCTTGAAGATAGAGTAATGAGAATTCCTTAAAGAAATAGAACCTAACTATGAGAAAAACAGAAGTGTGAAGAAATCCCAGACTTTTGGTTTAAGCAACTGGGAAAAGGGAGTGGCTATCAACTGAAATAGGAAAGTCTGGTGTACGGATTTCAGTTTTGTTGGCGTCTAGGAGAGATAAAAAGTTTAGTGTGGAACACATTGAAGATGTCCAAAGGAAATTAGATATGAGTATAGATTTCAAGAAAGAGGTATAGCCTAGAAAAGCAAATTTTGGGTCTCTGGGCTTATGTATTCTATTGAAAGCCATGATACTGAATGAAATGATTGGAGAAATGAGCACTGACAGAAAAAGAAAGAAGACAAAGGACAGACCTCTGCAGCCTACCAGCATTAAGTATCAGGGATGAGAAGAAACCAGCAAAGTAGACCCAGCAGGAGCTGCAGGGTAGATAGCAGGAAAGCCAGATGAGTGTGGTGTCCTGACATCCAAGTGGGACAAGTGTTTCAAGAGATGCATGATAAGTTATGTCAAATGTTGCTGATAGGTCATATAACATAAGGACTGAGAAATGGCAATTGAATTTCGTCATCCAGTGATCACTGTTTTATTGTGATAAGAGTTCTTTCAAAGAAGTGGTGGTGGAGAATGCCAGATTGCAGTGGGTTTGAAAAAGAATGATATGAACAGTAGATTTGAACAACTCTTAAAAAGTGTTAACTGCATAAAGAACAAATAAATAACTTGGCCAATAGTGGAATCACAAAAAAAGGGAAGAAACTGGGGGTATAGGAGAGTGAATAAAGTGATAGGCCATGAAACTTAATTTAGGTAAGAAAGTGAAAAAACATATGCTGGTTAAAAAACTGAAAAGGATCAGCCGGGTGTGGTAGCGCATGCCTGTAATTCAGGCTACTCGGAAAGCTGAGGTGGAAGGATCGCTGGAGCCCAGCAGTTCGAGGCTGCGGTGGCCGGGAGCGTGTCACTGTACTCCAGTCTGGGCGACAGAGTTGAGACTCCAACTCAAAAAGAAAAAAAGCCAAAACATTGGGATGCAAGTCATATCCTGTGACTCTACTTTATTTCTATAAATCAAATGTATACAATTTAAGTAAATCAAATTCACTCACTTGCTTAATAAACAATTTAATCTTATCTGCTCTAAGAACTTCTTCTCTCCACCCTAGCCAAACATAGATTAAATTATACATTAACCCTGTGTTTATGCTGCCAGAATTTGGAAAGAGGGAATGTGTCTATAGTTTCTAATAGCCATCATCATTACCTTTGTTTAGATATTGGAAATGCTGAGTGCTGGTCTCCCAATCTCTTGATTATTCTGATTGTATTTTATGTAACTTTCATCTTTAGTGATCAATATATCATATGGATGCCAAGTGCTTTGATGGATTTTTCTGTTTTATTGTTTTAGGTACTGTGGCTATAGACTTGCAAGATACAAGCTGTAGATCAGCAAGTGGCCCTACCCTGTCTCTTCCTGTAGAGGGAAGCAAAGAAATAAGAAGACCCAGCATTGCTCCTGTTTTAGAGGTTGCAGATACATCATCAATTCAAACATGTGATCTTCTAAGTGACCAATCAGAAGATGAAACTACGCCAGATGAAGATATTTCTTCAAACTTAGAGTATGTTCAGATACTCTAACGTGTAAGATAACTGGGCTTTGTGCTAATGTCCTTAAGACTGTCTTTAGGTACCTTTCCAATAGGTAAAGAGCTCACACCTACTGAACATTCAAGAATCTTTCCTCAAGTTTCTGACTTCAGCATATATTTCAAGCCTCGTTTTGCTCTAAATTATCTTTATTCTCAAAGCAAAGCGAGGACATAAATCAGTGTTCCCAGGATACAGACTTCATTTTCATAATTGTATGTTTTTATATTATATATTTATATTTTCTTTTGTCTTACATCCATATTGAAATTCAATCAATTGTTCTGTTACATACAAAAAAGTTTTCCTTGCTTATCTCAGTTTTTAGCAGTCTTTCATACAGTATGCATCAACAGTATTTTAAAGGTGTGAATAAAAGGAGTACCATCTCTCTTTCTAAGCTTCCATAAAAATTACATAATAAGCCGGACTCGGTGGCTCAGCCTGTAATCCTGCGCCTTTGGGAGGCTGAGGTGAGTGGACTGCCTGAGCCCGCGGGTTCGAGACCCGCCTGGGCAGGGAGACGCAAAAAAAAAAAAAAAAATTACATAATAATAATCTATATAGTACTGACCACATTGTGGCCTGCATTCGAGTTTGTTTACACATCTTATTCCACTAACTACATTGTCATTACTTCAGGAAGACACAGCAATCCACAGCCTTGACGGTGGAGTCAGGCTGAAGGGCTCTTAGCTATGCTAGTTCTTCCTTACACTGGTTGTGTACAGGAGATTTTTTTTTTTTTTTTTTTGAGTTGGAGTCTCACTCCGTCGCCCAGACTGGAGGGCAGTGGCCGCTCCCGGCCGCCGCAGCCTCGACCCGCTGGGCTCCGGCGATCCTTCCGCCTCCGCCTTCCCAGTAGCCGGAATGACAGGCGCGAGCTACCACGCCCGGCTGATTTTTGATTTATTGTCGAGATGAGGTCTCGCGGCCCAGGCGGGTCTCGAACCCGCGGGCTCAGGCCATCCACTCATCTCAGCCTCCCAAAGGCGCGGGATGACAGGCGGAGCCACTGAGCCCGGCGTGTACAGGAGATTTTAATTAAACCATCTGGCCTATAATTTTTAAACTGCAAACTGGATGTAATTATTACTTCATAATGTGACTAATTGAGATAATGGAGAAAAAGCGCTCAGGACACACGATGTTTCATGCAGAGTAAGCATTCAATTAGTGTTCATTACTATTAGAAGTAGTACTGGTAGTTGTGGCGTTGGTAACATCATCTCCTAACATTTCTCCCAATCTCTTTTGTATAAGTTCAATAATGTTGAATTGAACTAAAATGAACCGAAATATTGAAACTTGAAAATATATTTTATTTTTAAAAACTCCTCCACACTTCTTTTTTCATTTATTACAAGAAATGTTGATGTTCCCACGGAACACAATTCAGGCTCCAGAAAATGAATGATCTGAAGACTCAAGTATATTTGGAATCCAAGATGAGAAGAGGAAGAGGTTGGCAGCTAGTATCTTTCCCGGAAACAGTGTCTGAGGGTGTGATTGACATTTTTTTCTTTACACTTCTTTAAAAATCAAGAGGTAGAAGATTTTTTATTTCTAGAAAAAGGAAAGAGACTTTTAAGTAATTGTGGAGATTATCATCATCTAAATTTACAAAATTTTATCTTCTAATTTTGTCTCTATTTTACCTCTTAGCCAATGAAGTTTATATCCTGAAAATACTGATTATTTTCTTTTTTCTTTAAGGATTAAACAGTTTCAACTAGGTCTGAAATTTCATGGTTTGACAGGTAAATTTATTTAAAAACTTTCTTTTGAGCCGGGCCCTGTGGCTCAGCCTGTAATCCCGCGCCTTTGGGAGGCTGAGGTGAGTGGATGGCCTGAGCCCGCGGTTCGAGACCCGCCTGGGCAGCGAAACCTCATCTCTACAATAAATCCAAAAAAAATCAGCCGGGCGTGGTAGCGCGCACCTGTAGTTCCAGCTACTTGGAAGACTGAGGCAGAAGGATCGCTGGAGCCCAGCAGGCGAGGCTGCGGTGGCCAGGAGGTGCCACTGCACTCCAGTCTGGGTGACAGAGTGAGACTCCAACTCAAAACAACAACAACAACAACAAAACTTCCTTTTTATGGAACATTCAGGGAATATTCCTTTCACTATTTTTTAAAATTTCCTAATTGTCATTTATGCTACTGCTTTTTAGAAATTCTATTCTGAATATTAATATAGCCAAAATATGTAGATGCTTATTTTTTAAAAGTCAGCAAACAAACTGAATGCCTCTGATAACATTTTGAGCATGACTCCAATAAAACCTCTGTTTTTAACTAATTAACATGGTCATTTGCTCCCTTTTGGTTATGCATTTATGACTACTGGATATTGATAGAGTGAATCATAATAATGCATTTTGCTTTAAATGTATTTTTAAAAAATTAATACTACAATCTGTAAAATCATATCCAAATCTTCTAAGTTGAGGGTTGGCAAACCTTTTCTAGAAAGAAACAACTCATAAATATTCTTGGCTTCCCTTTCCCTGTTTCAACCACTCAACTCTGTTGCTGAAGCACAAAACACCCACACACAATGCATAAATGAATGAGTATGGCTGTATTCCAATAAAGATTTATTTATGGAAATCAAAAATTGAAATTTGAGCTTTATATAAATGTTCACATGACATAAAATATTGTTTATATTTTTTCAACCATTTAAGAATATAAAACAGCCATGAGGTGGGCCTAATAGATTCCAGGGCTATAGATTGCTCTCAATCCATGAGGTGGGCCTAATAGATTCCAGGGTTATAGATTGCTTACTTCTGTTTCAAACTTTTTCATATCAAAATATAATTGCAACAGATAGTTACTGATTCCAACTTATCAAAACAGAGGAACATGACCATAACTTAATTTCCAAATGTGCATGCCTTATCCAAGGGTAATATTTTGTATTGTTTTCCAGGTATGCTAAAGGCTACCCACCTTACTCTCCATATATAGGAAGTTCACCTACTTTTTGTCATCTCCTTCATGAAAAAGTGCCATTTTGCTGCTTAAGATTAGACAAGGTAAGCACTTGTAGCTGCTGTTTTTTTCAAAAATAAAATTATCAAATTTTGCAATTGCATATGTTGAGATAATTTGATAGCATTTTGACTAAAATATTTTAAAGGATATTATCTTGTCAAATGAAAGCTTAATTGCATAAAGTGGTACATTTTACCTTTGAAACTGCATTAAACATTACCCAAATGCTTTACTCTTCTACTAAATTAACCAAATGGATCTGCCAATCAATTTTTTAAAGAGGAAAATACAGTACCAATTCTTAACCTCAACATCTGGTCTCCAAACATCATTTTGGCCAAATGTACATTATTATTTTACCACTATTGCTTCAAATCTCCATATGGAGTCCCTCAAGATGATGAAATGAGTGAGTCAATGCATTAGATACAAAGACTTATTTATGACTAGACTGGAAGTTATTCTCAGTGTCTTGCCTAATTACGTATTTCTCAAAGTTTTTACTGTAGTCCTTGGTTTCTGCCTGGATGTGCTAGAAAAGCTATTCAAAAGAGAAAGATTCCAAGAGTACTAGAATTCTTATCTTTTTCACAATATAGCCATTGGGCTTGACCTGTATGAGTTTATCCTCCCGAAGAATAAGAAAACAGACAAAAAGAACAACCTCACACTCCCACTAGAGATTCAAATTTGCCACTAATTCTAGCCAGGAATTCTTCTTCTAATCTAAATCTGAAGTTAGATTTAAAATCCCAGCTCTCCACTTACAAGCTGGAGTAACTTGGGCAACTAACTTCACCAGTAAATTTTAGTTTCTTCATTTGTAAAGTAGGTATAATTTTAATATGAGGCTCGTAGGGTTCTTATGGGGATTATATAAATTTGCAGATGTGTAATGAAGTGCAAGAAACTTAATGACCAAGTTGGTGATTAATACATTTTGTTATTATTCTTGCTATTACTTTTTTTTCATATGATAAATATTATAAATTTAGGTTGTTGCAGTCATTCTTGAGGAAGATTAACAGGACATTAGAATAATCCTGCCTTTAGCTTGAAGTTGCTTGTGTGAATCTTTGCCAACATTGAGACGGTCAATTTCATCTCCCAAGGCTTTACTTTATTTTTATTTTTGCAGTCCTTGTTTTTCTTTAAAATTCTGAAACATTTCATATTTCTGACCAGCTATTTTCATTAACATTGCTAAGTCCTAAATTTCAAGGTCCTTCACCAGCATTAACCTCTTTCCAAGACTAATTTTTCCTGTGACTTAATTTTTTCTGTGTATTTTTATTGTTTTTCTTAAAGAGGATTTCTAAAATAACATATATGTTAGATACCACAAAAACCTAGACTCACTTCTGGTGACATTTACTTCTTTTTAATATACAGTCAAAGAAGACAAAAATATTAGGAGAACAAAGAGAAGAAATAATTTATTTCCGAGAGGGAACCTAAACAAACTGAAAGGCTAAACTTTCAGTGATCAAAATGGGTCTAGGAACAATGGAGGATCTTTCAATGTCAAAAGACTGTTTACTATCACTTTACCATATTAATGAAGCAAAGTTTCTGCATGTTGCTGATTGGGTAGTGATTCCCAGGAGGATTATTGATTCTTTAGGCAGCATTAAGTTGATAGAAGGTAGTCTGTTATGTAAATTGAGTGTCCACTTTGGGATTATAGGATGGAATTATGCAATGACTCTACTGTGTTTGTGAAGTATATGAATTGGGATCAATTTATTCTATGCCAGTATCAGTAGACTGATGTCCTGGTCAAGGTTTATCAACAATAAATTTTCTATTAATTTTTTATTCTCTCCTTGTTTTTTCCTTACTAATTCTAAATCTCCTTAGGGAAAGTTATTTTTGCTCCTTAATATAGTTCATAAATATTGAAATTCTGAATGCTTCAAACATTAGCTCATCACTATTCTTTTCCCATGACATGACTTCATGACTTCTTTCTGAATGATCTTCATATGGCTTCAGATTCTCCTTATATTAATACTTCCCTTAATGAATACTTGCTGTTCTTGTTGGTTTTCTGTTTTGCTGTTTTTTTGTTTTGCCATTTTCTTTGTTCTCCATTCTTTCTCATACCTTAGACCTTCCTTCTGGGTTCATTTTCCTACTTCCCAGTTTATAGGCTTTAGAAATTCTGTGAAGGAGATTCTGCTAGTCGTAAATTCTTTCAATTATGGTTTCCCATGAAATGTTCTTAGTTTGCCTTCATTCTTGCAAGACAGTTTTGCTTTGTGTCCAAGTACAGACTATTAATTTTTTTGTTTTTCTTGTAGCACCTTTTTTTTATTTTTTTTTTTGAGTCAGCGTCTTACTCTGTAGCCCAAGCTGGAGTGCAGTGGCATGCTCACAGCCACCACAGCCTCAACCTGCTGGACTCGGGCAATTCTTCCACCTCAGCCTTCCAAATATCTGAAACTACAGGCAAGCGCCACCACACCTGGCTAATTTTTTAATTTACTGTAGAGATGATGTCTCACCAAGTTGCTCAGGCTGGTCTCGAACCTGTGGGCTCAGGCAGTCCTCTCACCTTGTCCTCCCAAAGTGCTGGGATTTTAGGCGTGAGACACCATGCTCAGAAGCCCTAACTTTTAGCATTTTTAAGGACTTTATTTATGGCCTTCTGTGCTCCAAGTTACTATAGAGAAGTCAGCCATCATACTAATTGTTGCTTCTTTTCTCTGTGACTGCTTTAAGATCTTTTCATTGTTTTGATTGTTATGCTCTTTCATTATGATGTGTATGACTATGCATTTCTCTTTATTTATTGGAATTGTGATTCATTGAGTTTCCTGAAAAGGAGGTTTTGGGTTTTTCATCACTTTTCAAAAGTTCTCAGTCAATATTTACTTGAATAAAGCTTCTTTCTGATTTTTTCTTATCCTTTTTTCAGATATTCTGATTAAATATATGTCAGATATTCTCACACTATCCTCCAGGTATTAATTTTTTCATCCTAGGTTCTATTTCTTCTTCTCTTTCATTTTCCATTTCTATTCTTCTCTTTAATTCTGTCGTGCAGTTGATTCTTTTAGTTGCATCTTATGTGGATTTAATTATTTTTTGAGTTATAATATTTAGTTCTAGAAGATATATTTAAATATAGATATTATTTTAACAACTATCTGCTAGATATTATTTTAAATAACTGTTATTTGCATATGCTTTAAATTATTTTTTATTTCCTTAAAAATAATAAACATGCCCAATTTATATTCTGAATTTATTTATTTTCTAAAATTATATTTAATTACAATATCTGTTATCTTTTGGGGTCTAATTATCTGTTATGATTGTTTCTGTTTACTCCTGGCACCTTGTTTTTGTAATTTTTCATTAAGAAAAAATAACAAAGAATATTCCAGAGGTGATGAATATTCCAGATAATTAACTAGTCTCAACTCAAATAAATAAAAAGAAATCCACATAGAGACCCATACAGGTGAAATAGGGGAACATCAAAGCAGTTTTTTTTTGTTGTTTTTTGAGTCAGAATCTCACTCTGTCACCTAGGCTGGAGTGCAGTGGCACTCATGGCCACCGCAGTCTTGACCTACTGAGTTCAGACCATCCTTCCACCTCAGACTTCCAAGTAACCAGAACTACAGGCATGTGCCACCACCCCTGGTTAATTTTTCGATTTATTGTAGAGACAAGGTCTTCCCAAGTTGCTCAAATGGGTTTTGAATCCCTGGGCTCAGGTAGTCCTCTTGCCTCGGCCTCCCAAAATGCTAGAATTATAGATGTGAGCCACCACGTCCGACTTCAAAGCAGTTTTTCAGGCAGATAATTTAGCTTAAGATAATCTTGGATTAGTAATGCTAATTCCAGAAAATTCTAGACCCTATGAAATAGCAAATATTCTCAGGCCAACAGTTAATTTTGGTGATATTTTCTTGTTGTTGTTATTTTTAGATTGCTTTTGAGTGTCTACAACATTATTTTACCAGCTCAGCTATGCATGCAGGTAGTTAGGACTTTTTGTGTACTCTTTTCTTTTTTAATTCTTCACTTTTGGTATTAAGTACTGAAAATGTTGCTGAAACTAGTTAGCTATAATATTACGATATTTCTGGAAATGAGAATCAAAGATAGATCATTCTACGATACAAATACTTAAATTTCATCTAGCCACAAGTTTTAGTTTACAATAGGACATGTGGGCACACATATTGCTGACTCTTTCTACATCGGTCTACATGTATGCAATCTATTTGCCTTGGAGAACTGAACACACCCAAAAAATGTAACTCTTTTCAAATTGTTGGAAAATGAGAATCCCCTTGGTTAGATTAATTTTACATTTTCATATATACTACATTTTTGTCCAAATTTTAGTGGAGTATGAAAATGGCATTTCTTTGTATAATTTTTCTTCTCTAGAGTTGCCAACATAACTACTATGAGGACGCAAAAGCCTATGGATTCAAAAATAAACTAATTATAGTTGCAGCTGAAACAGCTGGAAATGGATTGTATAACTTTATTGTTCCTCTCAGGGCATATTATAGACCAAAGAAAGAACTTAATCCCATAGTACTGCTATTGGATAACCCGTAAGTATATTTTAAAATACACAAACAAGACAAATAGTTATTAATATTATATTACATGCATCAGAAATAATTGCCTTTAATATGCTGGTAGTATTTTAAATCAGATACATTATGGTACATGATTCACTGGGAGATGTATTCTGTGCTGCAATAGAAAAAAATCATCGAATATGGCTCGTTTCACAAATACTACCTTAAAACATCACTGGAATATTCTGAGAATTTTATTTAAAACTCTTTGCAAGTGGTCATCTACTCAAAATACCACAGGAAACAGGCCACTGAAGTAATTACTGTAATTTTCCTTAAATTAATCAACTAGCCTGAAAAGTCTCTGCCAAAACTGGACAATTTTGTTGTCTTTCTAAAGAACCATTAATTATCAGAGAAGCATTTACTGATCCATTTTTATATCTGATACCACAGAGCATCACCAGAAATTATTGAGATTAAGATTTTACCACTGCTAAAACATGCATTCTATAAAGAGTAATGCTCATGTGCATTTATTTTGAAAATATTGGATTAGTTTACTTTTGTTAAATAAGACTTTAAATATTTCAAAATTCTTATGCAAATATAAATATAGGTCATGAATGCAATGGTCAAAGTCATTTTATTCTAAAATTATGATATCCTTTTCTGTGACTAGAAATTAGTTGCAGGTGGTTCTTAGATCAATACTATATTGTAGGATTCTCCCACTCTCCTCATACATTTCAATGTTATGCAAATTTTAGCACGAAGTACATGAGACCAAGTTTTGTTGCCTTGTGTCTGCCTTTTAAGATTATCAAAAGAAATTTTTCAAAACAGAGTCATCTCCTCGGTATATTATAACTTTATAGTGGTGTTTATTCTGAATCTGCAAATATCAAAATATTCATTGATTCATCTTTCTTAGCATCATCATCATGTGATAAAAATTTAGCACACTTGTAGAATATTCAGTTGAATTTTCAAGCATGATGACTCCATGACTTTTTTTTGTTTTCACATTGTGGTCTCACTCTGTTGCCCAGGCTGGAGTGCAGTGGCAAGCTCACCACATCTTTGACTTCCTGGGCTCGGGCGATCCTCCCACCTCAGACTCCCAAGCAGTTGGGACTACAGGCATGTGCCACAATGCCTGGCTTATTATTATTAATTTTTTAAAAATTATTTTGCAGAGATGAGGTCTTACAATGTTGTCTAGGTTGTTCTCAATGACTTTTTCTATACCTTTTGGGTATCTAAGGAAAGGTGAAGTACAGTTAAGGCAAGTGTAGGGGAAAAAAACTTGAATCCAATGCCAGAAGAAATAGAAACCTAACAAAATAAACTTTTGGACAATACAAGTTGGATTGTGGAATGTCTATGTCAATAGAGTGGTTATAAATCACCTCCAAGGTCTTTTGAACATAGCCTTAATTTTCAAGCTTCTCTGATAGGATGCTCCAAGGAACTGTCTAAGCTGCTACACCAGACATTCTCAAATAAGTGGATTCAATTGTGTGAGCTTTGGCTCTTTTTTGTTTATTGCATGTCTACTCCTCTGGAAATAGAATTTAAGATTGGGGCATTTACAAACTGATTGTCTTAGAGAATTTCCACTTTGTATGGCTTGGATCAAACTGGATCAACTGAGGCACTAGGTCATAGAGAGGAAGATAGGAAGAGGCTTAATAAAAGGAGTGGAACTCTGCTTATAATACCCTCTACTGAAATGACTAAAGACCAGACTGCCTTTACCGTATTTTAGGATAATATTTCTTGTCCTGATATGTAAACCTCTGCCCCCCAAATCAGTCTGTCCATATTTGGGAGTGAATTTCATTCTACGGACAGAGGTAGACTCCTGTTTTTCAGTCTCCAGCTTTGTTAAGTAATCCTGTCTCACAATCACCAAGTCCCCCTTTTCACCTCATTATCTCATCAAGCAGGTGATAGGAGCCCAGTCTTTTACATGTATACTTTATGTCGATTTTAGAGTAGGTATAACCAAATTAGTCTCTCTTTGGTTTTGAATAAGCAGGTTACCAAAATGTCTGATTACTGGATGAATGAATGATTCACATATTAGGATTATGCAATCAAGTAGTTGTACAGTCTTAATTTCTGAATTTGATTAATCACAGAATAATCAGAGAACTCTACTTCTGTAAATTACTGACAACTGGTCAGTATATCTGTATAAATTCAGATGTAGTTTTTATCAGCGACTATTTCATCTGAATGAGATCATAAAGATCATTCAATAAAGTTTGTGTTATGTATTTCCATCTTCCATTCGCAGTTATAACTATTGAGCATTTATTACATGTCAGTCATCATGTTAACACTGTATTTTACATTTTATTCCCATAAGACATGTATTCACATTACATAGCGATAATTTAGCCTCAGAGAGATTATCAAGCAGTTTAAAATCTCAAACCTTTCAAATTACAATGTAAACACTTCAATAAACTAAAGGTCATATCACTTGGATACACCCCTGTCTCTTATTTTACAGTCTATGTAAAAGAAAGCCAAAGAAGGTAGATGGCATTTGCCTAGTCCAATTCTTGGATTAGCACTTACTATGCAATTCCTAGTTTATTGTTCTTTTAATTATATGATCTCTCCTAATTCACAAGGTTTTGATATATGAAAATATGTTTGCCAATTTTTTGGGAAACAAGAATATATATAACTTCAGATTATTTTTACACTGTAAATTTCCTTTGCTTTCCTAATGGCCTACATTTTGGAATCCAACTATCCACGTGATATGGTTGTTAGATAATTGTGTGTTTGACTTCATTTCAAAGGGTTAGATCGAAAGTGCATGCTGTAAAATCTACTAGCTTTCTGTGTACTTCCCAAAAGTAGTATCTAACATTTTTATTTGTTGTCCTTCTTCTGTTTATTTGGTTAAGAATGAGGAAACAAAAACTTAACACAAATAAATAATGTTCCAGGAAACTTTATGCAATCCTTTTTTTTTCTTTTTAAGCAATGAGATGCCTGTTGCTTTGAAGTAGCAAGTATTTTTGCAATCTATTCTATAATATTATGAAGAAATATGAAGTTTTAAAATATTTTCATATGATAAGAATTTATACAATGACGATTATATGCAATCTATAATTATTAGTAAGTTTTGAGAATTTGGCTTTATTTTGAATTCACTTAGGCATTTCTGAAAATAATATTCAGTACATGATTATTTATAAAAATTAGTTGAAAGGCAAATTAATTCAATAAAACAGAAATAGTTAATAACAGATGTCGTAAGTATGGAATTTCAAAAATATAAATTTAAATATATAATATTCACACACATAATATGCCTAAATAAGTGTTTACAATGTTTCCAAATAGAAAACCTTTTAGATCTCAAATGGTAATTAAATAAAACTCCGTCATATTGAAAAACATTTTTCAGTTGGTACTGGTTCATTAGAGCTGGTGTTAGTTCTGATTGGTTGGCCATCTGTTCTGTTCGGTCTGTTGTGCCATACTGATTTTAAATGTTTTGACTACCAATCCAACCTTAAAGGTCACCTAGTCATTTTATAACACCAGTTTGTATGAGACATAGAAAAGTGAGTCAAAAACTGGAATATATCATCGAAACCTACACAAAGATGAACTACAAGATCCAAGCTTATGTTCTAAATTTTTACTAAGTTGTATTTACACTTTCCATTCATTCAATTCATTCAATCTTTTTGTCTACATATGTTGGCAAATAAACTTCAGTTTAGTTAATTTTAAATGTAATGATGAAGCACCTGATGTCATTTTTCTCACTTTAAGAATTCAAACTTTGAACTCATACAGATCTGAGGTAAGATCTAAGCTTACCCTCTTATTAGATCTGTTACATGATACTGGGTCTCCTTAAGCCTCACTTTTCTAATTTGTTAAATGGTTAAAACCTTTATCTTAAGTTACTGGAAGACTGTGTATGGTATATTTGTAAAACACTAGTGCAATATCTGATTCACACAGGAAATGACAGTTTTTTTTCTGCCAATCAAGTAAATAACACTGTCACTATTCAAACTGATAGGTGGATTTGTGTGTGAAAATGTAATTAATAAAAAGACACTTATTTTAAGTAGTTAAACTACTTTTATATTTTAGCAAGAAATAAACTACTTAAAAATGGAATTATGAAATGTTGATCAAATCAACTGTGCTCATAAGGCATACTACACTCATTTCTTGAACTTGAAATAAATTAAATTTATTATGGCTATTAGTTAAAGGGGAGAGAAATTTTGGTCATGAATTTTACACATCCATGTAAATTTTCAAACATTTTTTACTTCCTAACAATAACTCACTAATTAATATTTGCACATAATGGCAGTTTTTATTATGAGAATTTCTATAAGGCTATGAGGTTTTAGGCTCATAAATAACCATCTTTCTTAATAGATTTAAAGTTAGGGATCATTAATAAATGTGCTCATTTTTCTTCTGTTTACTAACATCAGTTTTCTTGTATGTGTTTGTTTAATTTTTACTTTGTTAATTACTAGTTAGTATCAGCCAGTTTTGTTTCATTTTGTTTTGGTCTATGCATATTTGTTTTATCCTAGATCTATTTTTCTGTCAGGTTTGTCTTTCTCTTTGATTTCTAATACTTATTTTTATATTAAGCAGCTTATACGTTTTATATAAGTAACAATTTTTTGCATTACTTTTATGTTAATGTTCCTCTTATGAGCTATATAGTTAAATCTGTCAATTATTTTCACTACTTTTCCTTAGTATACATTCTAACATGATAAGACTTCTCCATTGAGCAGTTAGATTTTTTTCAAATTACTAAGTTTCATTCTATTGCATTAATACTTTTTTTAAAATTCAACTCTTTATCTGTACTTTGAGGGTGTAATGTAGGAAAGGAATGGGTAGTTTTTGTTTAATGTTTTTCAGCAATAATGCTTCAATGTCAAGATTATGCTTATCAGTTACCTGTCTCCCAATAACTAAAATGTTTGGTTTATTATGAGCCTATGATATAATTTGTGTCACTCAATTACTAAGCAGGTCGATGACATAAGCACTGTTGCCACTGTACTTAAATGAGCTGGCACAGTACATGTATATGCACAATTGATTTATTCTTTACGTTTCATTTGCCTTTAAATCAACTTTTTCTATAGCAGTAGTGGATAAATCTATTTGTTATATAGAATTAAATTGTGCAAAGAATATGGTATGGTAGATCACTTACCTTGGATATGTTTCATCAGGATTATATATTTACCAAGGTCAGGGGACTTGATTTCCCTTGTAATATAGATGAATTCATGTAACGATGAACCAAGCTACCACAATACAGATGTTAAAGCAATTTCTAAGGCTTTGGAAGATTGTTTACCCAATGTAAGTACATATCTGTAGCAAAATTGCATGTGACTAAAATTCATGAGTTTCCTAAAGCAAGACAATAATTTTGGTGGTCAGTTGCCTGTTATGATCTCTGCTAGACAAAGCAACAAATATAAAGGCTTTATCTTTAGTTTTCACTCTAGCAGAAGGGTTGTCATAACATTCAAGACGTACTTTGTCCCCAGTGACCTCAGTATTTGTTATTACACCAAAGATTTTCAATATCTTTATTGAACTGAATGATTTAGTACTATTAAATACTGTTGCAAGACTGTGACAGTGAACAGGTAGCTAAAGAAGATGGAAAAAAGAAATGGAAATATTTTGAACCTAGGAAAATAGGATGGACCGGATTGAAAAGGTCATTCCAGATCCATATCTGGAATATATTCTGGACATATATCTGCAATTAATAAGGAAGAATTATGTACCCAACTTTACTGTATAAATTATTGGCACTTAAAATATTGACTTTATCTGATTGTTGACTTTATCTGACTTTATCTTCTCTTTATTTCTATAAAATGTTAAAAGCAAAGAGAATTAAATAAAAATAATAGCCAAAACAAGACACTGACAAAATGAGAGGTTTTTGGAGTTGCATTCTCACTCCATTGCCCAGGTTGGAGTGCTGTGGAACACTCAAGGCCACCACAGCCTGGACCTGCTGGACTCAGGCGATCCTTGCGCTTCAGCCTTCCAAGTGGCTTGGACTCCAGACGCGCGCCACCACGCCTGACTTTTTTTTTTTTAACTGTAGAGACGAGGTGTCACCATGTTGCCCAGGCTGATCTCGGTCGCCTGGGCTCAGGCAGTCCTCTCGCCTCCGCCTTCCAAAGAGCTGGGACTACAGGCTTGAGCCTCCGACCCCGGCCAAAACGCGCGTTAGAACCACCGCGAGGGCGAGCGTGGCGGCTGAAGCCGGTCGCCCCCGCTCTTAGGGAGGCCGAGGCGGGAGGACAGCCTGAGCCCGCGGGTTTGAGACCAGCCCGGGCTACTCGGGGAGACCCGTCTGCACCAAAGCAAAAGCCCAGCCCGGCGTGGTGACGCACGCCCGTAGCCCCGGCTCTCCGGCAGGCTGAGGCCGAAGACGCCCAGGGCCCCGCAGGTGGGCGCTGGGGAGGCCAGAGCGAGCCCCCGAGCGACCCTCCAGCTCAGAAGCCTGAGTGCGTGAAGCACCGCCACATCTCGGGGCTGCCGCTGCCTTGTGGTACTTGCATGCTCGCGTGGGCTTGCCCCGTTGCAGCTCAGGGTAAGGATAGGCGAGACAGGGAGGGGTTTGGGGTCAGCAACTCACATGACTAATTTTAAGAAGCGGGACAGCGCCTCGAACGAGCAGAGTTGGAAACCCCGTCCATAAGGACCGCTACAGGGAAAGCAGGTGGTTATAATATTTGTTGAAAACATGTATCAGGAGCTTAAGAACTGTTTTTAGACCGATTTCCTCATCTCTCTTCTATTAATGTTTTGGGGTAATGATAAAAACCAATGCTTAAAAAAAAAAAGGAAGACATTAATGCTCCAAAGATGTCAGTACTAGTGGTAGATATAATGGTAAGAGACTGGAAAAACATGATAATTCAATAATTATTAGCAAAAGGTGAAAATAACTACCACGCCCGGCTGATTTTTTGATTTATTGTAGAGATGAGGTCTCGCTGCCCAGGCGGGTCTCGAACCCTCGGGCTCAGGCAATCCACTCACCTCAGCCTCCCAAAGGCGCGGGATTACAGGCTGAGCCACTGAGCTCAGTACATTTTAAAGATGTCCTGTGGTACATTTTAAAGATGAAATGGTATCAAGTATTTAAATGAATACAGAGACATTTAATGATAGGAGAAATTTAATCAAAATTATAACAGTGGTATTCTTTAGGTTTTTTCCTTTAATACCTTGCTTTATTGAGCTCTCTTTTTCTTCAGAGTGGGAAGAGATAGAAGGAAGATCAACAAGAGAGAAATAAGAAAGGGAAAAAAAGAGTTAATCTACTAAGGATAAACATTTGGGAACTTTTAGGTGCTCTAACTCCATTGACCTAGAATTTCCCTCTCCTTCAACACCCAAATTGAATGTCTCCTCTGTGAAAGGTTCCCCAATTCTGCCTCCTAAGTGCAGCCTATTTTTTCCAGATTAAAGTATATGATCTAATTATGCCCTTTTGTACATGAATTTCTTATAATTTTGCATTTTTACAAGTTAGTGATATTTTTGTCTGCATGATTATAATTAAAATATCTATTAAATAAAAATTTCTGATACGTCTATGCTGAGTGAATAGATGCATGAATGAATTAATAACTTTATGAAATGAATACAATAGATTAAGTGATTTCTAAGGAAGCTCAGGTTTATTTTCTTTCTTTGAATATTCTTATAAGTAAAAATTACAGTGCTATTAAATGTTTGGTCAACAGTATATGTTGAATAAATCAATAAATTAAACATGAATTAGTTTCATTGTAATTTTATATAATACATAATTTTGCATGGGCATATATGCTATGTTTGATATGTTTATATACTCTGTAGGGTATGTTGTGATTATATGTGTGTTTGTATATATATATATATATATCCCTTAAGGAAAGTTGCTCTTAATAGGTATTAGTACCCAATGCCTTAGGTCATCTAAGAATAATCATGAGTTCTTTATTTTACAAAGCCTCCTCTTCATGGATAACTTTAAATTCATTGATAAGATTTTTTAGTCATAAGGAAGGCTATCAATTCATCATTTTTGTAGAATTATGCCATAATGTTTCTGATTTAGAAAGCTGAAATACAACTTGTTTTTATCATTCTGAGGGCATTGTATGATTCATAACAAGTGAAAATGACATTTTCTAAGTAATGTTAAGAAAAAGAGCACTTAAAATAAATCTTATCAGCAGTGTTGAGTTTTGGAAATGCAAACTAAGTCAACTTAACTTCCTTTCCCTAGAAGTGCTGCCACTGTTGTGACATTGTGTTTCATTTTGTAACCCATCTACTACTTAGGCCAGATATGCATTTTCTGGATGCAATCTGTTGGTTTCCAATGGTTTACTACATGGTGGGCTCTATTGACAAGTAGGTGACAAAATCTTTGGCACACTAACTAGTGTAGTGTCCTGTGGTTGTCGTGTGCTGTGCCTTGTTACTGCATGATTAGTGTAACTTGCCATGTCAGTATTGCAAATATATATATTTTGCATGTAGAGCTTATGTTCTCGTGTTATACATCTCATATTAAACTTCCTAAGCAGTAAATTGTTGAATTAAAACAAATCTTGCTGCATGTCAGTTTTATCAGTTTTGCTCAGTTTCTAATGCTATTTTAGTTGTGTCATCTCTAAAAATAACATGATTACTATTTACATAGTGTTGGAGAAAACCTAAAGATTCACATTGTGATGCATTGATATCATTACCATAACTTCTGGAAAACTAAATGCTTGTTTAACTCAGATTTATAAATTGAAGGAAGCATTTCTTAAAGAATTTACTATGTTCTAGTCACATGTCAGAGTCTATAATTTCTAAAATATTTGTTAATTCACAGACAATATATGTGTAATGCGTTAGCAATTAATTACAAATTCTTATATATGCATCATGGTGACAATAGTAAATATATATATATATATATATATATATATATATATATATATATAAAAGATCAGAAGCTAACATACTTAAAACAATATAAAACGTTTCATTTTGTAACCCATCTACTTCTTAGGCCAGATATGCATTTTCTGGATGCAGTCTGTTGGTTTCCAGTGGTTTAATACATGGTGGGCTCTATTGACAAGTAGGTGACAATAGAGTTACTTTTTCACTTAAAAAACTGTCAGCCTGAACTTTCAAAATGCAATGCAAAAATTTACCAATTTAGAACATTAATGCTTACATTTCATCTTGTCAGTGTCGAAACTGCTAGGGAAGGGAGGGGCATACCTCATCAGTAAGGGTACTGGCATAATCAACGTTTGTATACCTAACCCTGAATTGTACCCCACATCTTTATAATAATAAAAAAATAAGAAGGAAAGAAAAAAACAAAGTTTTATAACGTTGAAAATGTTTATTAGCCATGGATACATTAAAGATCAACTAGACTAAAATATGTTTAGCCTCCATTCTACATTAATACATTTACATTATCAATTATCATAATATTAACTAAATGAAATGTAGTCAGATATACCTAAAATTACCATTTAACTGTTACAAGTATATATAACCAGTAGTGGTACTTTAAAATGACAATGTTTTATTAAAATCATTAGAAAAAGATATGTTTTATTAAAGTCACATGTAAAAGATAAAGAATAATTCAGGAGATTATGAATTATCTTATAAAATTATTTATAAGGAAAAAAGGAATCGAGAACATCAAATTCTTAGGGACAGAGACAAAACAGGATTGGTTTCAAATTGATAATTATTGAAGTTGGATGAAAGGTACATAGAGGTTCACTATACAGTTCTTCCCTTTTGCTTATGTTTGAAATTTTTCTTAGAAAAAAACAAAAATCTCTTCAAATAAAACACACCCAAACAGGTCCTCACACTTTTAAATTTCACATTCTCGTCCTTGGAAAAGGGAGTCTTAGAGGAGGATATAAAGAGTCATCAAAACTGCAGGTGGGCACACACCTCATCAACAAGGGTGCCTGCATAATGAATATTTGTATACATAACCCTGAATTGTGCCCAACATATACAAAATATAAAATTAAAAAATAAAGAGGCATTGCCAATTAAATTATCTGAATAATTTTTTTCATCCAGATTGACTTTCTTGGGCCGCCATCTGGTGGACAAATTGTGTAAAGCAATCAAAATAAGGGAAAAAATAAGGCAATGAACTTGCAAATGGCACAGTGGGGAGAACTAGGCAGGAGTTGTAGAATAAGTTAGCAATCTATTTAAGAAAAATGGATTAAATTCGATATTAACTAAACATAAATGGAGCAATTTAGTGTTAAAATATGAGAACATAAAGGTTTCTATACAGTTCAGAAACATTATTCCAATTTTATGTATTTTCTATAAGTTTAAACTCATACTTAATGATAATTGCTAAAATTATTTGCCAAGATTATGTATAAAATATAACAGTCAATATTTTTGAGGATGGAATTAACTGTCACATGTGGGTATAGGTGGAAGTTAACTATTTAGCACAGATACTCTCGAAGTGAAGTTTTTGTCAAGTGTCAACTTTGACTTCATTAAATTATTACTGATTAAATATTCATCTTCCTATCTTAACTTCTACCCATATATACTTGTCTAATCAATTTTACCCTTTACTGTCTTTATGTTTTCTTTTTTCTACCGAAATAATTATAATAGAGATACTTTTAATAGAGGAAAAAGATTGTGAGAGCCAAAATACGAGAAAGTGATTTAAAACTATAATAAAGTGATTGGATAAATGGCAACTTAGACATCATTTCAGTGGCCCATAAGGGACCATATCACATTCATTTTCCATTTGACACTTTCTTTTCTGATATATTTTAATCATTTAAGAATAATTATACATTTTCTAAATAAAAAACCCAAGTATCCCTAGGTAATTAAATCTGAAGGTCACCATATTGATTGGATGTTATGGTCCTGGCCCCTCTTATCATAGGAAATTTATTTGGAATAACATTCTGTTTCCACAGTTTTAGCCATAAAATCTCTGCCACAGAACATTGTTCCTGATTCAAGCGAAATATTTTTTCTGGACTACTCCTGGGGATCTTGGACTCAAGGCTTTGGTAATACTCTCTCACCTAATAACAGAGTAAGACATTCTGCCTCCCACCTTCCCATAGAAGGAAAATAATCCCCTTTAACATGACATGGCTAACTCCAATCATGCACTTGGAAAAGATCCTCAGGGACCTGACTTTTCAATTTGAGAATCTAAGAGAAACTGCTGTTCTTTAAGTTCTAAACATCTTATTTTAAGTCAGAAGACGTGGAATCAATTAACCTATCACTTCTTATCTGTCTTCAATCAACTCTGTACTAGAACATTCCTGTAGTCACTCAAGTTTAGCTTTCCTCATCCAATTCAGTACTATTTTTCTAGTTTGTATGAAGCAGAGGCAATGAGAATAATGGTCCCCTGTTACGGTTTTAACAGTAAACATTTTCATTTAATTCACTGGGAGAATGATAAGTAAGGTTTTTTTGGTTTTGTTTTCTTTTTTTAATAGCGATAGGAAAGAAAATTGACTCTATTATAGTTCACAGATATATAACCCACTTTAGCAATTACTTCATGCAGGTTATTCAATCACTTGCTCAAAAATGTAGGCTGTCTAAACAGTAGACTTGCATACAACAGATATATATAAATATAAATATATATATTTATATATTTTCACATGCTCTTGTAGAAGCAATCTATAACATATAGACTTACCTAAAGAAATAATAGGCATTTTTAAATAAACATTTTATAGCCTTATGTTTCTTCATTAGACTTGACCATCTAAATTAACATAGCACTTATCTACTTCTACTTTTACCAAAAGTACCTTAGAAATAAAAAGTAACTGTTATGTCTTTGAAGTAGTATTTAACTGTAAAAACAAAGTTCTAACACACTCTATTTCTACTTTTTTGCAAAGTTGGCATTTTCTATGCATTTACATAATTGATAAAAATTATTAAATAAAAAGTTTTAACACATGCCTTGAAACAGTTGAGATCTAATAAAATATAAAGAATGCAAAATAAAAATTATTTCATATTAGTAGATAATATTGTTTCATAATTCCCATTAATAGCTACCAGAGCACACTCTCTAAAAGCCACCATCTACTTTTCATAAGCACAGGGGATAAGCAAATTTTAGCATTAATTCCAACATTGTTATTTATTTAAAGCTTGTTTTTCTCTGTTGATTTTTATCAAAGCCTAGATGACTTACTCAGGTGTGGAGTGACCTTTGCTGCCAACATGGTGGTTGTGGACAAGGAGAGCACCATGAGTGCTGAGGAAGACTACATGGCAGATGCCAAAACCATTGTGAATGTGCAGACGCTTTTCAGGTAAATGTCCAAATCACCCAACCCTATGCTAAACATGAGTGAAATACTTGACACTGACTGTGTTTGAAGAATAGCATGAGACACTTAACAGTAACTTGTGTTCTTTCATTTATTCATGTGATCACAAAACACTTAGCAATTCATATGTGACTGGCACTGCATAAAGTTGAATGATTAACACCAGATCAGGAATTTTTCTCTTAGAAAGCAAATAGAATGATGTGTTTGTTTTCTTAGATAGTTTAACAATAACAAATTCTGAAAAAATTGCATGCAATAGTAGTCATGATTTGTGACAAGCTATTTTATGTTCTTGGTTTGGTTTCATGCCTAACAGTAGCCAAAGATATGCGTGTACATACTAGATAACTAGGATTGAAAGACTGCAAGAATGTGAACAGGTTAGTTACCCATGTTTTTTGTTTTGTTTTGCTTTTTGTTTTTTTTTGAGTTGGGGTCTCACTCTGTCGCCCAGACTGGAGTGCAATGGCCGCTCCCAGCCGCCGCAGCCTCCACCCGCCTGGCTCCGGCGATCCTTCCGCCTCAGCCTTCCAAGTAGCTGGAATTACAGGCATGCGCTACCACGCCCGGCTGATTTTTTGATTCATTGTAGAGATGAGGTCTCGCTGCCCAGGCGGGTCTCGAACCCGCGGGCTCAGGCAATCCACTCACCTCAGCCTCCCAAGGCGTGGGATTACAGGTTGAGCCACCAAGCCCGGCTAGTTACCCATGTTAGAAGCAAAGTCATAACCTTATCCTCACAATTATTTTTGTCTTTCATGAATTAAACTCACTCAGATATGAGTCCCAGTTGGGTAAGATAAACAATCTTGACTAGAGAAAGTTTCTTGATATAAATAAAGTCAAAATCACCTGTAGATCAAGACATCTACTTCACTTGGAATGATTCTCTCTAAAATCATCTGAAAATTTAAATATCAGAAAGATCAGTTTTTCCAGTTTTGTGAGTTTTGCAGACTCATAAGGAAATATTGAGTTACCAAATTATGAAAGCAAATGAAACAATCTCAACTCTGTCGTCACGATCCCCCTTCCCCCAACCTTCATACCTTCATATTGTAGCAAAGCATTAATTGAAACTAATTATCTCAGTGTATAGTTTGAGTTCAAAATTAAAAAGAAAGAGTATGAATGTGAGCCTCAGTTAAGTTGCCTATAATCCTTATGATCTTAGGCAAATGACTTTTTGTCTCTAAACGTCAATGTTTTAATCACAAGATTATTAAAGATCGAAAAACATGTAGTGTCTTAGCACATGCATAGTAGCTTTTAATTACTTAATAAGTATCCACCATTGAGTTTCATAGCAGTATAATGATCACTTTTGTGTGGCAGAGTGGAAAAGCTCTGACCTTGAACTGTAGAGCAGCAAACTTCACATGTCACAGCCTCTGTCCCTGGCTCCGGCACTTACTTTGTGACTTTTATAACCTCACTAAAATTCAGTTTCCTCGTGTATAAAATACTGTGGAAAATAATCCATCGTACAGTGTTAATGTGAAGATTAGCAATCAGTTATGTAAAACAGACTGTCACGGCACCTGGGAAATCTACCTTAAATTTGCATAAGAACCGCTTGTTCCAGAAAGAGGAATACACACTTTAAAGTTATTATAATGTGGCAATTCACTAGAATATAGTCTAACTAGTTCATCATTGAGCCTTGTTAAATAGTACATTTAAAGATAGTATAGGACATGTTTTAAAATACTACAGCTATATAAGCAACTTATCTTTTCTAGAGAATAAGGATGTTAAAGGGTAGAAAATTAACTCAGGAATGAGATTTATATTCAGCGAATCGAGCAAAATCATATTTTTTTGATTCCGTGCTTGGAAAAAGCTAATTTTAGTTTTAAGCAGAGAGGATCTTGGGGTTTTTTTATTAAACATGCTATTCTAATTTTCCATTTTATGTGAGCTTTTTTCTATTATGGTGAAGCTTCTATTGAGTTGAATTTTATTATATTTCTCTGAGGGAATTATTCTGATTCCAAGGTAATAATATACTGAGAGACACAAAAGCTCTAATTGGTAATTTAAAACAAACTAACTGACTAAAGTAATTAAGGATGGATATACATGTGGCAACTGACTGTTGGCTACCCTGCTCTTAGTGCCTAGCTGAGGAGGTAATTATCACATGTTGAATGAATGAATGAATTAGTAACTTGGAATTTCTTAACTACTGGGCTTACCTGTCTTCAGCAGTAAGAAATTTTTTAAATTATGCAATTTTTGTCGAATAGGTATAGATGTATAGACATGTATCTAAATTTAATTGTTTCAAGCAGAAGTTTTCCCAAAAAAATCAGATACCCAAATTGCAAAGTAATTACCTCTGTTCTTTCCTTTTCTGTACCCTTTAAAGACATTTCCATTATTTTACTAAGTATATAGCATTATTTTTCAAGGAAAAAAAACCCATGGAACTGGTTTTATAGGGTAAATTATTAACTACTAATTCAAGAGTGCTAGACTAAGCTAGTTTAACATAATAAGAAGGTAAGCAAGATTCTTGTAATCTCCTATGATATAAGAAATATCACTTATATAGATGAATGATCAATAATGCAGATGGGAGTTTTATTTTATGCTTGTGGTTAATTACTATTCTCTGGGTTAGTCGTCTACATTCCTTAAAGATTTTAGTTCCTGATTTACTGTGACTCTTCTTGTCAACCCTGATTCTACCATAATACTTGATGACTTTAGTCATTCTGTATAAATGATCTTTTTTATATCTTATTTTTTTGTCCACCCATTCTCATGGTCATAGCCTTGACCTTGAACTATGATTAATTTTACACTCCACAATCTCAGTTTCTGGCATTCAACTCTGAGTACCATTACTTATTTTCTGTCTAATTTCTTCTAGTATCCTCAACGCTCAACAGTCCTTTGATTACGAGAGAACCTATCATCCAGTGATCCTTGTACTTTGTCAATGCCATTACTCACCCGAGGATTTTTTCTCCTACTTACTCAGATTCAATTATATGATCAATCATTATAATCACTGCAGCACTGAAATCCTCAATGAGTAATTACTGATTATCTACTATAGGCTAAAACTGATCTCAGCTCTCTCCCTTTTCTCTCTTCCTCCTACTCCCAGTTTTCTTTCCTTATAGGTTCTCTACCCACCACATTGCATGAAATTCCTTACAGGCAAATGACAACATTCAGAGATAGGAACCAGTTACCCTTATCAGTAAGCATCAGGCAATCCACAAGAAAGCCAGTCACAATAGCTGGATACCAGCCAATGTTGGATTAAAGCTTTGAACACCATCCCTAGGGGAACTAAATTCTTGCACATTGATTATGCAAGAGTTAAGAAAGAAAATGACTTTGAGAAAAATTTCATGACTCATCCTAACACATCTAGAAAAAAAAAATGGTAGATTCAGGCCTACAACCTGGGTGTCAGAAGAAAGATGAGAAATCTTTATTTAGGAGTTGAGAAGTAAAAGTTGCTCCAGAGAGCACATAGAATAATGTTTAGTGCAGAATGTGTATGAACTTAAATATTTGTTAAAGTTATATGATAAAACTCCTGGAGTAATTTAATTCAGAAGTTCCATTGGGTTAATTTTGTTTTAATGCGAAAATTGTTTGTTGTTTTTGTGGATATTTTTCCAAAATTTAGCTGACCAGACTTGGAAGGTACTGAGCACTGTTAAAGGAAACATTGAAACAAGACCTAGATCTGTCATCTCTTTGGAATAGAGCAATTACTACATTAGATCAATAATAGGACAGGATGACCTCCACAGGCACACCCGCAATTGTGATTTGCTAATACAGCATGCTTGACCTCCAGATTTACTGAGCATCTAGTAAGTGTTGGGACTATAAAGGATGCTGTTATAGCCTTGGGATGCTAATAGTCTAGTAGGAAAGGTATTAAGCCAGTAGTTCAAAAATTTAACTTGGGAGTTATAAATGTGACAGTTACTGAAAACAGTAGAATTTTATATAGACCCAGATATCAAGAATATTTTATATAGTTCCTGGCTCAAGGAATGCCTTCTTGAGGAATTGATCATCTTTTATATGAAAAGTGAAAAGAAGCTAACTGTGCAAGGAGGTGAGTAGAGCATTCCAGTTGGGAGCAGCACATCCCAAGCTCTGAAGTCTTAACACGGAAATATTCAAGAACTCAAAGCAGAGCAAAGAAAATACTGGTGTGAGGAGGCTGAAATGAAACTCAGCGCATTATTGGCTGTGTAGAGTATTTAATAAGGTGGTATTTATTTTAAGAATAACAGGAATCATTGAAGGATAGAGAAGTTTTAAAAGATAACTTTGGTTACAATGTGGAGAATTGTTTTGAGACAAGATAAGAGTAGGTGAGAGCAAGTTGTTGTTATTGGTATAAAGAAAGGAATATTTTCTTTACATTTACACAAAGAATCATAGTTTTACTTAGCAAACAACATGCACATGCATATGCAAAATTACATAACTGAAAATAATATAGTCATAAACATAAGTAAGTAATTCAAAGTAGATACTCAACGTGTAAGTAAATTCAAGAGTGATTCTTTATATGGTGAAAAACACTTTAAATGTTTAGATTAGCTATTGTTTACATGAATACAATTTTCAAATACAGGAGATGCTTGGTATTTATCATACTTTGACTTATCACTAGCAGACTTTCTGAAGTGTTTTAAAATTATTTCAGAAAGAATAAATATATATATATATTTTAAGATTTATTTATTTTTCTCTTTTTAAAATTATCATTTTTTTTTTACTTTATTTTAAAGATGTGGAGTACAATTCAGGATTAGGTATACAAATGTTCATTATGCTGGTACTCTTGATGAGATGTGCCCCTCCCTCCCCTAGCAGTCTCCCTCAACTGCCAATCCCACCTCCTCTCTCCTTGCAGTTTCCCACTACTGTCTATCCCTTTTTTAATAGTATTTGGATAATTGTTCAAGGTCTGCTTATGAGTGAGGACATAT